GCGCTCGGCCTGCTGCTCCTTGAGGCGAGCGGATAGAGAATCGATGCGGTAGTTGAACACGGCCGTGACGGTTGTTCGCGTGAGGTAGATGCTGAGGAGGGCATGGTCAGTGTCTCATGTTCGCGCAGCCAGATTTCCATGAGAGAGGTAGAAGAACAACGTACAGGAGAGGGCCTCCAGCGACGCCAGTCCATTCTGAGGCGCCCATGTCGTTCCATCCTACCACCAGGAAGATGACGATGGAGTAGACGAGGTAGGCAAAGGCGAGGTACAAGGACCAGAGCACTCTGATGCGACGGGAGGTGGCGCGCGCGCCATCGAGTCTCGCTTGGGTGTCTGTGATCTTGGTTGACAGCGCAGAAAGGGTCTTCTCGAAGGAGGCGGGGGAGGAGTCGTCACGCTGTGAATCGGAAAGTCAGCGGTTCATCCGGTCCATTACAGAAAGCGCGCATCATGCGCATAATGAGAGGAGGTCCTAGGTCGTGGCTGACGTACCCTCCAGGGCCAGAAGGAGACCATGGCGAAAGATGATGCGGACACGTGCCGTGCTCAAAGCGGCATGGCCCAATTCGAGGGACTGTGGCAGGAAAGAAAGGAGGCAAGCGCAAGTCAAACAAAATGGAAATGACGGATCACGGCGAATGCAATGCTATGCGCAGTGAGAGATTGGACGAGCAGCACCGCCGTATGTGTGGTCCTCGTGGCAGCTGTGGTCGACGGGAAGAGGTGCGGGATCGGGGGAGTCGAGAGGCTGAGGTGGTGATGGCCTGGGAGGGGATGAGCTTTCGCGACACAGACGATCCACCTTAGGTCTGGTGCCCACCTCAGGCAATTGGAGTCTGGACAGCTGTTAGGTTATGACGCAGCCTCGCAGGGCATCAGCGAACAGCTGTCCCCGGCGCTGAATGAGGAAACAGTGGGCCCGAGCTCTCCCTGCCACCACTAACATAGAGCTGTTTTAGCGTCCTGACAGCTCCGGGATCAAGCCTCAGCTGCCCTGTGGAATATCAGCCTCAAGGACCTCACCTTATATCGAGAATAATGAGGATAAACAACATGGACTGGCAGCCTCAACAACAAAGTTGCTTAGACTCAAATACATCCGATCTGTCTCTGGTGGAAAGATTGGGCTTCTCAGTGAGAGGCTGGTTATGGGAATATTTGTTAGACATCTAACTAGTGTCAATTGTTTCTCAAAATTTGAGCGATTGGCACGTAAGAATAAAAATCTGAGAAGGAAAGCCAGCGAAGAGATGGAAAACAACTAAGCAATAATGCTCCACAGTAAGTCTTCACAGAGACTTCAAGTACACTAAGTCTACACTTTTACTTTGAATTGAACTGTGGCTATCTCTCATGGCCGCTTGAGAAGCTGCCTTCAACCAAGGTAGACCAAAGTAGACCAAGATAGAAACAAAACATGAACTTAGCACCGAGGTTCGGGAGAGGATGTATTTAAATCGATAAAGCTCGCTACTTAGGGCATGGAATACTACTAAGCTATATGGAAACAGTCCGCAATACACCGCCCTTTTCTCACAGGGACGTGGTCACGACGCAAAAAAACAAAGCAGCAACTGCATGGAAGCAACAGGCCATGTTACAAAAGCTGCCTTTGGTGATTTTTCTATGCCTACGACCGGATCAATGCCTCGTCCTATGTAGTCTAAAGAGAGGCAGTCAGTCTGCCGAGAAAGAGAGACTTACAATGACTGCCGTCAATCCCTATGGCCGACGCTATTCCTTTTAGATACGCCCACAGCCTTTTGGTATGCCTAATCTCACCAACACCAGTCTATCATGTCGATAACATATGACATGCCCAAGGCACTCGCACCGTGTTAGCTGTACAAGCTGTGTTCCCTACTCTATCGTCTGCCCTGAGAGTCGGGTCCCACGAGAGTTGGATCGCGTGGAGGTTGATTCCAACGACCAATCGAGCCAGAAACCATCTCCCAACTCTAGTATGGCCGAATTACTCGGATGCTTCAATGTCTAAAATGTGCCATAGGAGCATCGAAGGACTCTAAGATATTCCATATGGGATCTCCCGTACCATCCAGCAGATTATACAGAGAACCACCAAGCTCGCGAACCTCACCTCAAGTATCGAGCACAAACGAATATAAATCTCATGGGCAACTTGACTATCTACTCTATCCATCACCACCACCCAACATCACCACGGCCTCAACCTACCTTACACCGCCCTACCCAACAACATCCCACCCCTGCATCAAAACCTCCGCCTCAACAACCCCAACCAACCTCCTAAGCACCCCCAAAACCTCCTCATTACAAAAAACCTCGACGAGCCCGTCACAACTCAACCCCCTCAACCGCTCCCTGACAACCCTGACAACAGCGACCTCCCTCTTCCTTCCCCCCTCCCCTCCCTCAAACGGCTCCTCCAACGCCTCCGCCAACGCAGCCTCAAAGTTCTCCCTTACAAGCGGTCCGATTCCCGCTTCTAGAGAAGTGAGGACCTGTCGACGGATCTCGTCCGCCAGACGCGCGCGTTCGAGGGAGAAGGTCTCGGTGACTGTTTGCGTTACGAGGGCGCGGAGGGCGGCGTGGGGGTGGGTTTCTGGGGTTGTGTTCTTCATGTGGATGTCGCCGTCCATGTCGATGCTACGGTGCGAGGAACCCGAGGAGGTGGCGGCGGCGGAGGTTTGGGGCAGGATGATGCGCTTGCGGGGTGTGTTGTTGTTACTTTCTGGAGTTTTGAAGTCCTGGGAAGGGCTGCTGCTGCTGCTGCTACTGCTACGTGGTGAAGGCGTCTTGGGGGTTCGTGGACGACGGCATGGCGTTGGTGTTGATGGGCGGGAGGCGGCGTGCTCTGCGGGACGGTTATTCTGTTCGGCTTGTAGCTCTGCGAAGATCTCCGCTGAGGAGCGAGGGCGGAGGCTGGGTTTCTTTCCACGGGTGAGGGTGGAGGTGAAGGGTGGGAGGGCCTTGCGGTGCGTACCTTGGCTCATGTCGATGTAGAATGGGTTTGTCTCTGAGAGGACGGCAGGGAGGTGGGCGGGCGCTGGAGGGCGTTCTGGGTTGGGGTTACTAGAGGGCATGGTATGCTTATTTGATCTAGATGTTGTGAGTAGTTTTCCTGTCTTGGAAAGGTTCTTGTCTTGGTGGGCTCTTTCTGGTGATGATGGAATAGCAAGTGCTGGTGACCTAGTCGCCAGCAAGGTTGATATATGTCGCGAGCTTCGCAGCTGCTGGAATTGGTGAGCCTCGTCGTGAGTCGCCATAGATTCAGAGTATGTCGATAGTCACTACAGTCAAGATGAGGCAGAGACCACGCCAAGAGACAATCACTCGGCGATGAGTGAGCATCCCGGACTCATTAAGCCACTCCAGATCGATCTGTCAAGACATCCACAACACAACCATGGCTGTCCGAGTCGTTCCCAACTAGGGCAACCTGCGCAGCCGAGGGTTCGCGTCACAATTGACAGACCAAACTATGCAATTCTGGACAAAGACACAACGAAAAAAAAAAGGCATGCATGTCTTGACTCGTCACAAACCGTTACAACTGTGTCGCCAAACGTGCCTTGCGCGCCAACAACGTGCCAATGTGCGCGGGCTGCACGTCCTGCAGACCGACGTGGAGTGCTAGCCCCCCTCTCATCGCCACATCAAAGTTCTCCACGGTAAGCGACGTTAGGGCCCTAGGAGGGGATGTGAGCATGTCAAGTTGACAGGCAAACATTGTGGAGGGCCCCTGGAGGGGAGAGCAAACTTCCAGCAAGATGCGGATACAAACAGCCCGTCACATCCGCGCCGTTGGAAAGTATGTGCTTGTGACTGGATGTTGACAGGGGAGGAACAACAAGAGGAGAGGTAAAGGAGGAGGAAAAAGCAATTCTCCTGCAAGAAAAGGGACGAACCGAGACCATGCGAACCACACTCTGCCTCTGTACGGATAGTTGCGCGCAAGTTGAAAGTCTGCCTCTGCCACTCTGCGGCCTGCCAGCGGTGCGAGTAGCCAACTCCAGCTGCAAAAATATTCCGCTCAAGGTTAACCCCCGCCTTATTTCCTCTCAAGACTCCAAGAGAGGTTTAGCTTCTCGGAGGACAAGAGCTGCAGGGTCCTCTTCCTACCACCTCAGCTCCTCAAACTAAGGCAGCAGGGTAGGTAGTCACGTAGTGTAGGGTTGAGTTGCCATGTACGAAGTACTCCGTACGGGATACTGATATGCGCGTTTGCTTCTCAGAAGCACAGCACAGCACAGATCCTGCAGGTAGACCGCCCGGGAGGCCCTCCGCGAGTGCGTTGCGCCGGCCGCCGCGATGTGCAGGTCGTGTCTTGGGGAACGGGACGAGTATGCGCGCCGGATCCTTGCTGACTTTCTTGCTGTACTTTTTTTCTCTTTTTCTTCTTCTTGGGGGGTCGGGCTGTCGTATGGTTACAAATGAATGCTAATCGTCATTGCAACTTTGGGTAAGTGATCCGCCGAACACGGAAGATGCTGGTGCTCTTTTCGGGCTCTTGGTATTTCTTCAATCGGCGAACGGTGGAGGGCGAACCGGGACCATCGGTTGTCCTTTACGTAAGTGGGGAAAAAAGGCGAGACACAGAGAGAATTGTATTCCCGAGGGTCCAGGTCCCGTTAGTGTAGATGGCGAGTGGAATTATCGGGATCTGGATGCGGTTGAAGCCCGGGCGGAAAGGGGGTCGGCGGCTGATTGACGGCCGATGGCAAGACGATACAATCCACATGCGATCCGTTGGTCCGCATGGCGCAAATGTGTCTCGCGGTCGGAGGTCTGCAATGTACTCGCTGGTCGCATGTATCGAATTTATTTGAATCAATTCGGATCAACAGCAAAGTGTCCTCGAAGCGGCAGGCAAGCCGCAGGCCGCAAAGCAGTGAGTCGGGAGGGTTGGAGGCAGGACTTGGGAGGAGCTGCGTGAAATAGGACTTGGCCAGTGGTCTAGACGTCACTCTGTTCGCAGATGCTGCCCGTTGTAGTTGCTGTCACTGCCTCTCAAGTTACAAGTGAGTTGTGAGTTTTGACGTTGTATTCCCTCGGCGGAGAGGTACTGCGCAGAAAGGGAGAGAGTGCGACATGATGTGCAGACGGTGGCTAGGCCCGCGAGATTGGGGGGTTTCATGGTGGACGAAAGCTGGAGAGCTGTGCGTGTAAGTGAGGAGAAGCGAGCACGTAGGCACCGTAGGATGCGCGGGACTGCAGGGAACAGGGCGATCCGTAGCGGCGATCAGCACTGTCAAGTTGTCGACTGTGTTGGAGTCTATGTGATGCTTGCTGTACAAGTGAGTGTGAGCGTTGTTGAAATGCCATGTTGCTTGGGCAGAGATGGGTGTCAGCCAAACGAACAGTAGGGACACCATCATTACCAGTTCAGCTCATTGCAAAGTGTTATTGTCGCAAGCTTTCTGTGGCATCTGCGCTTGCACATGTCAACTCCCCATGATCAATGATGATCCATGGAAGATGGTATCCACTGGGATGCCGTCACCACAAGGCCCGAAAGTGACATGCTGCTGACCTGCTCGGTTCGGATAAATTAAGAACAGAAAAAGAAGGGGAGGAAAAAAAAAGAGGAAACAGACAAGGACCAGGAAGAGAGAGAGAGAGAGAGAGAGAGAGAGAGATTGGAGATTGGATGAGATGTTGTTGTCAGAATCAAAGATGAAAATGTTACGAGAAGACGGCCACTTTGAAAATTCAACAGCAGCACGGGAACAGTCGGGAGGACCTTGGTCATGTATTTCACCATACAATTACTGCGGCGACGATACTTGATGACTACTCGCACGCACGTCGCTCGTCCCATTGGCTCCGGTCTGGGCCGAGCGGGTCCTCCCCTGCCCTGGGGCGGTTGGTTCCTGCCTCGTTCGATTCCCCCAGCGGATGGGCTGTTTGTCAATTTTGGCAGCGACGTTCGACACTGCACGAAAATCAGACCACCTGCCTCCACCGCACAGCATTCACCGCACACCCCCGTCCTCTTCCTACACCCCCTCCCTTCCTCCCTTCTCACCACCAAACAGCAACAATCACAGACCTACAGCCTACCGAGTATACCATCATGAACACTGAACACTCCAATACGCAGTACACCATTGACCATTGACCATCCACCATACCTTGCGGATACTCCATCGTCCACCACCCATCATATCGACACTTCATCTCTCAACCTTGGAACCAACACTCGCCAGTGCTGCATCGGCGCATCGCTGCCCCTTCATGTCCCGCCATGCGCCCATTATGCGCTCCATAGACCTCCAACGTGCCATCCCACAACCAAGGAACCCGTCAGACTCAGCCTTAGCGAACTTGGCAATCTTCCCAGGCCCTTCAATAGTATCAATCTCTCCATTGGTCTACTTACTCGTGTTGCTGTCCGCCGTGCCTCTTGCGTCGAGTTCCGACGATGCGTGCGATGCGAGGCAGTGCGAAGCGATTACGGATGACTCGTTGCATTACCACCGCCGTCATCCATCAGACTTGAATTACCGTTGCCGGAGACCGGCGGGCCCTTGCTGTTTCCAGGACACCCAACGCCCTGGACGCGAATCCTGTACGCTTCGGCTCCGTGACTCGGCATCCTCGGGCCTTGACTGAGCAACACCTCGGTCGCAAACGTCCGCTGCTCTCTCAGCTCTGCCAACAGCCAACTCTTGATTTTTCTTGCCTCGCCCAATAGTAGCCGGGCAGTGAGAATATCTACCTTTGCCAGGTATTCACGCAGTAGGCAAAGTATCTTGCTCATTCCGAGTGAAGAATACTGGCAGCCGCAATCAGTGTTGGAGTGCTCGGCAGCATCAGAAGCCGACCACTCGGAACGACTGGGGACTCGGGAGGGACATGACCGCCAGTACAGCGCAAATCATCGACGTGTCTCTTGCCTCTTGGGTCGAGTGGCCCGGCACGCCTCGAGGCATGGCGATGCGCCCGACAAAAGCTTCGAATTCCCCTCCTTCCCCCTTCCTTGTTCGAGGGCTGACGAGACCGGCGACACGGCATGCCAGGGAAGCGGAATTCAGCTACCTACCTGCCACTACCTACGTACCTAGTCGTATGGATACCTACATTAGGTGTCGGGCTGTTAGTGCCATAGGGGCCAAGTCTCACTCAGTGTGGGTGGGAGGGACCCTGGAGATCTCGATCGTCTTCTGCCTGCCGCGGGGCCACCTGTCAAACGGTCACCCACAGGAACAGGAACGAGAGGCAACGGCCGCCAGGAGGTAGTGACAGCTTCAACAGACTGTCGTCTAGGATGTAGTCACAGACCCCCGAGGTCCTGTCTTGACCGTCGACAAGATAGCGAGCAACGACGTCAGCCATGATCCCATCAGTAGTCCAGGGAGCAGCACTGTCCAGGATGTGGTTATGCACGTCAGGAAAATAACATGTCTACTACGTAGCTGGCTGCTTGCTTTGCCTGGATACACGATAATCGTCAATGGCCTCAAAAGCTCCAACAAGATCTACGGATACCTTTTCCATCCAATCTGTCAGTCTGGACCGGCCCCATGCGCCGTTTACGTCCAATTAGGTAATGCCAGACGTCCAAGTTTGAACTCGAACAGCTTCACGACTCGACACCTCGCAGTCTCACACGCCCCCCTTCCTACCGTAAGGTCTTAGCTCCTCCCCATCTCGGTCAAGATGGACGAGATCTTGGTTTTGCGCCCATGGTTCTTTGAGCTTTGGAGTCTTGGGCGCATTTTGTGACAGGCTTGGGTTCCTCTGGGAAGGCCGGGGGCCACGGGGAAGGGGGGGGGGGGTTCCTGATTCAGATGCATTCCCACATCCATCGCACGAGATGGAAGGCACGTTGGGCACCACAACCAAGGTTGAGATATCCGATTTCCGAGGTTTTTTCCTTTGGTCTTGCTTTTGGATGAATCGCCAAAAGATTTGAACCGCAAACATATCGTCAGGTTGCATGCAAGATGATGATGACGGGTGTCCTCGTCAAAAGTAGACCAGATCGCGATGAAGGAAAAAAAAAAAAAAAAGGCGCGCTCGCTTCCGATGAGATGCGCCCCCCAATGGCTCCCCAATGGCCTCATGGAAACGGTTTCCTCCCCTCAATCTCGCAGTACCTTGTAAATCCATAGCAGGCAGTTTAGTCAAGATGGGCGTTCCGGTCCGCAGAGTCGGCGACGGGCTGCGGATAGGCAAGTGCCGCCAAGGTCCCGAGGTGCCCCTCCATCGTTCTATTCTCTTTCCATTTCGTCGTGTGTTGACAGTTTTCCCCCTTCCGGGATTTGACGCCAAAATACACAGTACACACACGCCCCCCGAGTCTCGGGCACCCACCCCCCTGGACCTTGTCAGCCGCTCTTTTGCTTTTTCCCGCCTAGCTTGGTCTGGAATTAGGCGTGGCAGCAGCAGCAGCAGCAAGTAACGAGTACCGGTACCTCTTCCTGAATCTCTCCCTCTCACCAAGTCCGAGGTTTAATACCAGTAAGTACCTAAGTTATCATCTTCGTTTCGTTTCGCCGACTCGACAGGACAGACCAGGAAACCTTTCTGCAGAGGACCGCTGTGTTTATGGACTACCTACTCGTGTATAGATTCAGTGCAGGTCTTGCATACAACGCTCTAACATATGCAGCATACGCAGTAGTGTCATAAGGGAGTGAGGAGAAGAGAGAGAGAATCGGTGCAGGGTAAAGGACTCAAGGAACGTATGTGTGTACCATGTACCCGTACCCTGTACCGTACAGATGGACCCTCCTTGGTGCATGTGTCAAAGAGACTCCCCACAGCACCTCTCATGTCAATCATCAGTCTTTCCCACCGTCGGATCCGTCCGCCCGTACCATTCACACACTCTGTCGCCTACCGAGTACGCAGTATTGTCGACTCTGTATCCATACCGAGAGTCGTGGGAGTACTTTGGTCACATTTTCCTTTGCTCAACCACCCCGTGCTCGTATGACGAGCCCGTCCATCGCCAGTTTTGCTCGCCGTTCCAACCCGCGCCCGCCTTACCATCACGCCCCCCAATGATCCATTCCTCCAAGTCCACCCTACCCGCATCCCAGCATTCGGACCTCAACCCCGGCTCATGGCCGATTTTCTTGGCCATTGACTCTCTTTACGTCTCTTTACGCCTACGCAGCACCCATGCTTCACCATGTTCTGTTTTACTCGCCTTCTAGTATATAGCTTTGCCGTCCGTCTTGTTGTCTCCCCACCTGTCCACTCTCGAACCATCAGCCTCATCTAAAGTAACATCATACCTTACTCCGTACAGTACCTTACCAATATTGTCTTCTCTCGCCATCGTCATCTCGACACACCCACAAACACACACACACACACACATATCTCAACACCGGCCCCTCGTCAACTCACTTCCCGAGTAACGCCACCAGCACCTCGCATCTTCAATCAACGACCATTTCTCCAGACCGGTCCATCGTCAGATTCCCCCCTCACCTCCCACACCCCAGTCAACCTACCCCTCCATGAATCGCACCATGGCTCAACAACAGTCCTTTGACTATTATCAAGTACCTCCGATGCCTCAATCAATGGTATGTAGTCTTTTCTTTCCTCCCCTTTAAACCAACCTGTCATTCCCGACTTACACACGACGACTTGACCCAATTGGCATCAAGTCTCTCTCACACCTGCATAACCAACACTTCTTCCCTCTGCGTCAGCACCCAACTAACACTGCATCTCCAACAGAGCCCACCGGAGCTGTCTCCGCTCTCCTTCTACGACACCCAAGCCGACTTCAGCGCAGACTCGGCCCCGTCCCGCGGCTCCCCCGTCTCCCCCGTCTTCCCGACCTCCTCCTTCCAGCTCCCCACCGGCGGCGACTGGCCCGCCTACTTTGAGAAGCCCGCCCTCTCCCCGGACCTCGACGTCTTTTACGGCGAATCCTTTGGCAGCCCAATGTCCTTCCTCTCCCCCCAGAACCTCACCCTCAGCCCCAGCGCCAACCCGTCCGACCTCATGTCCGACGCCGTCGCCTTTGGCCGCGAGGGCATCAACGACACCCAGCCCCTCTTCCAGACCCTCGACGCCCCCGCCCGGCCGCAGCCTCAACCTCAACCTCAACCTCAAACCCAGCAGCCCGCAAAGTCGCCCCGTCTCGCCCGGACGACATCCGCACCCTCCTCTCGTCCTCAACAACAGCCGCAACAGCGCCAACAGCAACAAACACAAACACAAACACAACAGCGAACCTCCCCGCGCACCAACGACCTCAAGCGCAAATCCTCCGCCTCCTCCGCCTCCTCCCGCTCCGCCTCCCCCGAACCCCCCGCCCGCCGCACAAAACACTCGGAACCCTCCAAGAACCCGCACAACATGATTGAAAAGCGCTACCGCGTCAACATCAACGAGAAAATCATCGCCCTCCGCGACGCCGTCCCCTCGCTGCGGTGCGTCGTCCAGCACACCGAAAACCCGCACGCCGCCGCCGCCGAGAGCGACGAGGCGATTGACGTCGTCGAGGAGTTGGGCGGGTTGATGCCCGCGCGCAAGCTGAACAAGGCCACGATCCTGAGCAAGGCGACCGAGTACATCGCGCACCTGGAGAAGAAGAATTCGCAGCTGTGGAAGGAGAATGAGGCGTTGGAGAAGAGGCTTGCGGAGGCGCAGCAGTGGCAGCGGGCGCAGGCCGAGGGACCTTTCTGGTCTTGATGGGTTGGGTGTTGTCCTTGCGCAGAGTATCGAATACGAAAGCCAAAGAAAGAGATGGAGTGCATCATAGAAGGGTGTTTACAAAAATCCAACCATTGGGTAGATGGAAAGAAAGGGGGGAACGGCGCGAGGTTTTCCGGCAGTTGACACTGTTTTTGACGACTTTGGAATTCTCTTTTCTTACAAGGGCGTTCTCTTACGATACTTGGCGGGGAGACTCGATGGGAAGAAAAGGGGAAAACTGGATTGTTTTTGAAATGTATACCACGGGGATGATTCCATCATCAAAGAAGGCGTTTTACGGGTTGTTTGAGTAGGGACATTCGAAGAGGGTTTTTGGCGAGGTTTACCTGTCAAAGAAGAGACTATTGCTTTATTCTGGGTGGAAGATTCAGAGGTATTATCTAGGAAACATGGCCTTTGGTTTACCGAAACTCTCCGCTTTCTTGCTTCGCATGAAAGATGCGAATAATGAAGAGATATTTTAAACTACATTACATGCTTTGGGTGCAGCTGTTTGTGAGGTCGGGGTAGCTCGAACCCTCAGTTGCCATTATCTCAGTGGTGCTGTCAGCTGTGCAGTGACCTGTATCTGCGTGTACAAATCCTCTGAATCCAATAAAAGCTGCAATAGTCTTGGTCCCCTTAAGTGATCTCAATACCTCGAGCCCTTTATCCCCTCGGAGGTTCCATCAGCACCATTGATAAAGCTCTGACCCTCCCCGTGGCTAATTCTTCCAGGGCGAGCGACACTATCGAGACATCTTCAGTGTCGCGTGTTCTCCCAGCAGCCCCATCTCCGAGAATCGGCAAACTCGGGCGGCCCAAGGGGCAAAAAAATACGCCCCCAACGCCCCGACACGCAGCCCGCCTCACCCTAGCGCGTGTGACAGTCCACCACTAGCGGAGCCGAATACGTCGGCCGAGGCGCGATCCTTCGGCTCCGGGGTGTCTTTTCGGGACCCGTGGTCCGGCGCGCACTACCTAGAAGTAGCGCCCGCCGCTGCGAGCAGGGAAGTCAGTCGAATGATCCGATGGGAAAGGGATGTCCCGACGTGAAGTAAATGGATAGGGTTGATCCGTCTGTTGTATCGCAGGGGCAATACCTCCAGTCACTAAAGATCATTGGCTAGACTATATATCTGAGGTGAGGGCAGCGGTGTCTGCTATAACTGTTTTCATGGCTGTGGTGGCCACGTAGAGCTTTACTAGTAAATGGGAATGGACTCGAGCAAAGTATTGTGAGATTAGTTGTAGACGTCGGTAACATCTTGAACAGCGTGATTTGGAGCCAAAGTGGAACAGAGAGAGAGAGAGACTGATGCAGGACAGTGTGAATGGGCCTTTGCAGTCTGAGCATCATCAGCACAGGTCCATAATCTGGGCCACTGGTCTTCAACAGACTATGAAGACTAGTCATATATATAAGAGTATACTACATAATGCCGGCTATCGGGGCCTGAGAAGAAGTACGAGTCAGAGAGAGCAGGGCCTGTGGCTACACGTGAGTTGAAAGCAAGAGGACGGCTGGACCATGTTACGAATATCTACTGTAATGATGCCGCTGAGTATTTCCTAGGGAGATCAGTTTTTAAGCGAGCGGTAGAGTATTGTTATCCATTTGAATGTATACTAACCGACGACTGAGTTGACCTGCTCAGGAGCGCTGTGCGAGAGTCAACGTCATCCATCCACAAGGGTAGACGGGAACAATACTCTTGTCCGAAGAAGGAGGGTCTGCTCATTCAAAGCCTTCAAAAGCTTTTGTAGCTTTGTTCCATTTATTCTGGCTTTGAGATATCTCAAGTTTATGCGTGATGTTCAAAGCAGCACGGGTAGAATCATTGTTAGCGTGCTATCCTTTGTCCATTGTTTGGATGACTGGTTTCGCAGACAGCTTTCTCTCGCTGGTTCTGGGTGAACCAGAACACCGGTAAGATAATCGAAGATGAACCATCCTGACTGCCACAAAGCCGGTGACAACCTCAACATGTATAAGAGAACGCGACCCAAGACGTGGGAAGCAGCTGTGAGATACACACCCATCAGCGAAGACATAAACACACACACCACACCATACCCACACAGACAAGGGCCAACACATCTACACACGCTTGAGACCAAGACGCGAAATGGATCCTCCTCCCAGACGTCTCAGACTCGTTCCCAAGGTCACCTTCATTCTTTCATCCATCGCCATACACTATCAGGTCGTCAAATTCGTTTACAACAACCATACGCCACATGACCTCCTGAACCCGTCCCTACTCTTCGTTCTACCATGTACGATATTCATCATCAGTCATGGTCTTGGGGTTCTAAGACACCACGCGTTCATAATTGCTTTAAGAAGGGAATTCGGGGTGATTGGTCTGTGGCTATTTTACTTTTTACCAGTCCTCATCCAAATTATCCTGTGGCTGAGGTTAGCACAATGGGTCGCTGCGACAGTTCCATGGCTGATAATATCGGCATTCAGGCTGTCCCCCATCGTTATACTGTTGATTCTCGCCGTCCAGCTGTGGAGGAGGACAAGCAGACAGACCCAGCAGTTCCCTGCGCGCGAGCATCGGCTCGTGGCGCAACGGGTGGATGAATTCGCCGATGGGCCTGCTCACGTTCCGATGCAGGAGTTGAATGACAATTGGATATTCTGAGACGCTGTTTGATCGTAGAAGACTGAGTTGCTATATGCGAGGTTACTTATACTACAAATTTGACACATAGTGCCACCAAGTTGTGTTATTCTAGTAAGATCGCTTTGCTGTGAAGGATTAGTCTGATTCATTTTCCCCTCGTGAGAACCTTTTTGCTGGCTCGGGCTACTAGGGCGCGGCGCTATATCTAAAGCCAGACTTTCATACGGACTCCTCGTGATGGCCGACGGAGAGAATCAAACGACAGGCGATTTGGACAATGGAGTTCGCGTATCGTCTAGAAAAACAGTCTCGAGTGCCGTTCCTGGCGACGGATCAGTTGGTGGGAATTCACGATATGACTACGTGCTGAGCGTCTCATCCATCCTGACCAGAAACATGTAGCCGGTGATTGATCAGAACACTCGACTAAGCCGGTGCTCAAGTGATGATGGACCTCGTATCGATAGTGTGAATAATGAAGTAGCGGTCATGCCCACTATCCAGCGAGTTTATCTCCAAGTTTCGCATCAAATTGAACTCTCGGTCTCTGAAGACTCCGTGAGATAGCAATAGGGCAGCAGCCGTGGTCTTTGGGCTTGGTCTCGCAGCACCCTAACCCTACTTTGTGAAGTGGCAAAACTTGGTGCTTACCGTACTTAACTAGTCGTTGCATGTATCAACGTCACCTCAAGAGAGCACCAATTGATGTATCGTACATGAGCATTTTGGCTGACATCCGGGTTGTCGTAGGGCAATTCCTGCGCTCAGGCATGCATGACAGCTGGCGCGAGACCGAACATTGAGTCGTGTAGATCGGCCCCAGGCTGCGATTTTCTATGCAACCCGTGGCGAGGCTATTTGGACATCTTCCAATCACCGGCCACGCCCACAGCTACATAAAGACGTTCTAGAGGTGACAAAAAGTTGCGCTTGCCCACAGTGCCCCTTGACAGAAAGTGCATCCAGAAACAGGCCCTGCAAGGAATGAATAGTTGGATTCTTTCCAGACCGGCCACCGCTGCAAGTATGAAAGGATAGAATGCTCGATTTACAAGAGGTTCGTTCAAATGTGGCATGGTTCAGCAAGCCTCGTCTTGGCCCGTCAACTAAGCCTGAGGTCCCTGGTTCGTACATCAGAAAGCATTTTCAAGTTGAAGAAGCGAGATGAGCGTTCATGCCACAAGAGAACATAATGATCACATCTGAACCCACGCCGATGCCCTACACAGTTTACCTCTGGTCGTTGCTCTTACACTAAACCTAATGGATAGACCATGGGCTAAACATTCCTAAAGCGGGCATGTATTTCCGCCATGCACTAGGTAAACCCCACCTTGTGTGAAACTCTTTTTCGACAACGCCCACCAGTCCTTAGCAGAGACATGTGTAAAAAAGCGCACAATCGCAGGGATCACGCACGAAAAGAGATCTTTTGACACTGGTTCGAACAAAGCTCCGCCTGGGTGGCAGATGAAAGGACGGCTTGCAAAACCGATGGGGAGTTCGAGATACGCACTCCGTACATAAATAGATTGCTGAGGGGCTCTAGTCAGCGTACGAGTACACAGAATTCCTTTCCCTGATCCCGGTGGAAAATATCCTTCCCCCTAGTTGTTCGGATTCGGGGTCTGCTTGTCGCAAGTCGCCCAGTTGCAGCCCTTGGGGTCCTTCCTTCCGTCTCGTGGGTCGCACTGGCTAGGACACCAGGCGTTTTGATAGGTAACGCCATTGGGCTTCTCGTAAGGGTTGCAGTGGAATCCGCCCTGTGTGCATGTGCTGCCGGGGTTCCCGACGCCGTATGCAGAGGCCTATGCTGTCGTCAGTAGGTCGTCATACTCGTGATAGAGCTCATGGAGCATACTTACCATGCTGAAAGACAGAGCAGTGGTGACGAGAAGGTTGTTCAGTTGCATGGCGGTGGAGGAATATTTACGAAGAAGGAGTCAACAGTACTGATAGCGAGCGTGATGTCAACGGCAAAGCGAAGATGAGCTGGAAGTGAGAATGTTTGTACAGTAACGCAGTCAGCGAGAGACACGGCTTTTGTAGAGAGTTAGAGAAGCATTGGAGACGGCCAGCCCGAGGGTTTACGGAAGTATAATAAGTTGCATTTGTTTAGCATCATCTGATTCCTGATAAATTGCGCATGAACTTTCTCGGCCTGGTCGACCAAAGATTCCTGTTCATTTGAGGCATCCCCATATGCTCGATACTTCACGGAGTCGGAGTCATACAAACGGCTTAAGCATGTGAGAAATTTCAACTGAATCGCGCAAAGCGGACACCGTCTAAATTGCCGTGAAGAGAGTCTTTCGAAGGGAATTTCTCCGTCAGAATACTAAAGGAAGATAGTAATAAATGCGGGCGTGGTAGGTGGCGCAAGTATCCATTGCTCCCTAGGAATGAACAACACTTTCCCAAATGTAGTTCCAGAGATTGATTCCAAGCTGAGAGAACATGGCTAGCGTGTCACATCAGCCCGGTTGTTGATCAGGAGACCCCATTGTCATGGGCCACGCACAGAGAAGCCAAGACGGCAGTCAGGCTCGTCCGTATCCCGCCCGTCGCTAACGACAGAGGCCACCTTGGTCTAAGGTAAGTTCAAGTCCCGATCTAGAAACCCGAGCCTCGGCAGATCGTTGAGGGGTAAGGAACATACCGACTCCTGGTCAAAGACAAAATAAGACATCTTTACCTTGACCCGTTCTCACATCACCACACCCGCATCGAAATATCCACAGATTTTGACCCGACGCCCTGCGGCTTCATGATGGAACTCCCACAATCAATCAATTTGACGAGCATTCTCGTTTCTGTACTCATATTGGCAGCAACGTTTTGCTTCAAATGCGTCATCGACAGTCACCGGGCGCGTTTGTCTGACATCCCGGGTCCTTGGATTGCTCGGTACACAAACCTGTACGCGGTCTATTTAGCCTGGCGTACCGAACGGGGTTCATCGAAACTAAACATCTTGGACGATCTCCGAGACACATATGGCGATGTGATTCGCCTAGGACCTCGCTCGGTTACCGTGTTCGATCCTTTCGCCGTGCCAGTCATTTATGGTGTTCGATCTCGGCTTAACAAGGTTGATAAAGTCAACAATTGTATTGTTGGAAGAATTTGGAATTCTGATGCTAATGACTGCGAGTCTTTCAGGGTGAAGCATACATACCTTTCCGTCAATCCGGGGTGACGACAAGTCTCCTTAGTATTCAAGAGGAGACGATTCACTCACGATATCGGCGCCTGGTATCGAATGCTTATTCGATGACGTCGTTGAAAGCTTATGAGCCCTATGTTGATGAGCTCATCTCCAAGTTCATAAAAGTTTGTGAGGAACACGCTGAGAAGAAGCAGGTGCTGAATTTGAGCCGCTGGTGCTACAACTGTCAGCCCAATCCCTCTGTTTTCACTTGTTGAAGCTGAAAGGCTGACTCCAGTACGCGAATAGACTGCTTCGACGTCGTTGCGAAACTGTCTCTGGGCAAACCTCTCGGCTTTCTCGATGGATATGACACGTATGGTCTGTACGAAAAAGTCAAGCGATTTGGGGCATACGTCGCCATCGTCTCCCAAATGCCCTGGCTGCACAAGGTCGTCCAAGAAAACTTCGTGATGAGGCGCTCGAGGCCATCGCCATTTCTCAAAGTTGTGTCCGAGACTGTCAACGAACGTGTCTACCAAGGCAAATCTGATACCCGACCGGACCTGTTGTCTTACTTCGTCTCCACGCATGAGCAACAGCCTCAGCTCATGACAACCAAGCAGGTCGCAATATCGGCCTCAGGGAATCTGATTGCCGGCAGTCTTAGCCCCGGGAAGACTTTCCACGAAATGTGCAAGTACCTGGCAAGCAACCCAGCCTCACAGGACAAGTTGTACGCGGAACTGAAAGAAGGTGGATGCGGATCGTTTCCGACTTTTGACGAACTTCAGGAACTGCCGTACCTATTGGGTGTTGTCAAAGAAGCCTTACGTCTTCACAGCTCTGCCTCGTTCAATCTGCAGCGAGTCACTTCTTCGGCGGGTTTGCGGCTACCCAATGGCGTGTTTATTCCAGGACACATCAATATCGGCTGTCCAGCTTCTCAAATCAACCGGGACCGCCATGTGTTTGGTCAGGATGCCGATGTATACATCCCAGAAAGATGGATGAAGAGAACGGCGGAGACTGACGAGGAATATCTCGAAAGAAAGGGTTTTATGGAGAAGACGGAGCTCACTTTTGGGCAGGGATCGCGGACGTGCATTGGCAAGAATATATTTGCCTTGGAGGTGTACAAAGTCGTGGCTACCTTAGTGAGCCTCTACAAGGTGCGCACCGTCACTTACTTCTGGCTCTTGTAACATCTGCTGATATTGTGTTTTTGAAGTTTGAGAAAGTTGGAGGTCCAGGAGGCGAGGTCACCGTAAGATTGGCTCGCAGAGTTCAATGAACACGATGATCAGAAGAAGTAAATCCGGATGAAGTGGGCTTCGTTCTTCTGATCGTATTCGCCCCTGAACAGGGGCATATCAATGACTATGAGCTGGGTTACATTTATTCATGTTTTCAGCAATCGGAACCTTGAGGCGGTCTACTAGCTGCCATATTACACTGCCTGAATAGGCGAACCTCGTTCTCCGCGAAGGCCCCAACAATGGAGTGCATAACGCCATGGTTGTTGAAGAGAACGAGGTCACCCTCCTCCCAATCATGAGGATACACGTATTGCGGGCTGATTGCTGGTCGTTGCAGTCTGTAAATCAACTCTCTGACCTCTTTCAAGTCCTCCATTACCGTTCCATCCTTAAGATGGATCCTGCGCGCTGGCGTCGGGTACACCATCATGGCAAACTTTCCCGTTACCGGATTCTTCCATGCCATAGGGTATCTCCTAATCTTTTCCTCCTCAATCTCTGGGAGCTGGTCTTCAGACAGCTCTAGACCTTCTGAGAAAAGACCTAGGCCATTTGACCTCGCCTTCGCCTTGCTCATCCAGATGTACGGGTGTGGGCTGTACTCGATCGTGCTGGTCTTGACAAACTCCTGATCCTCCTCCGATAGTAATTCAAACATGCGGTATCCACTGATGAAAGCTGTCGTTCCCAAAGGTACTTCTAGCTCGTCTCCAGTCCCATCGTCGTAGCGACAGATCTGCCGCCGCCCCTTAGGTACCCTGCAAGCAAACAGCGATGTGACGAGAGGCGGGTCCAGGTTGTACATGGCCGAGTCAATGTGCCATCGGTAAAAGTGGGTGTAATCGTAGTCCTCAGCTTCCAGAATAGGATGCTTATGAAATGTCTTGTGGTGAGGGTGGGTGAGCTTGAGATTCTCCAGTCCTTCGAACTCGGCTACTGCGCCGTGGCCGATGACTTGCACTTGCGGCTGAGATGGCAGGGTGGTCAGATCCTTGTGGAGGACGCTGCGTTTGTCGATGCGGGAACCATGGCTGTATGTGCTTGCTTCAGGGTCGAATAGGCGGGTGAGTTCGTATTGGGCTTTTGGTGAGAGGTTGTGCTGGCCTTTGATCAGGACAACATTGTTGTTATAGAGAGCTTCTCTAATAACTTGAAAACTTTCATCTACGCTTATGGTTGGCTTGATGAGTGTGTTTGCTTCTGGACACATATACTTACCATCGATGTGTTCGAGATCAATCCCCGAAAGTTCGGCTCCGAAATCGACAGCTGATTTCTCAAACGGCTTGGGAAGAGGGGAAATCTCAACTCCAACGGCTGCCATGATGAAAGTCAGGAAAAAGTAAGCGATGATTCGTGTTCGAGGAGTTAAGTTGAATATTCCCTGAAAGAGGGACACTTGGACTTCATCACCGTATATATATCAACCGAACGTTCTTTCAGAGATGCATTTGGCTAATGCGGGCGAGTTGCACAAACTGGCCCGCCTCTCTGTGTGCCCGGAGATAATCGACGGAAACAGTGTTTGGACCATTCCTGCGACGCGCGGGTGACATGAAGGACTCGCCCGCATGCATCTCATTGCTTGGCCAATGAGAGACTGTGACAATACGATTACTACGCGTCACTGCGTGTTACATGACAGGAGAAGGACAGAACTGGCGATGCGGAAGAGCATGTTCAACTCACCCGCTCCAAATTGGCAGAAAGTTTAAAGTCGTCGATGTAAAGGTCAGGCTGGTTGGCTATAAGTTCATGCGGCTACCCGGGCTCATGAACAACTCATCAGCCCACAGACTCAATCAATTATATTCTTTAGCCCTGTCACCTTCATCGTGTTGATCATACAGTTACAATGGGCAGCCTCACTTCCCCATCTCAAGGACTCTCCTTCAGGGAGCTCCCGACCTCCCTTCGTGAGTCTTCTTTGATTGGGGCCAAAGTTCACCTGCCCTCATCAATGGATGTCCTGGACGTAGACGCGTTGTCAGAAAAAGACCTCGAAACCTTCAGAAGAGCCCTGTTCGAAAACCAGGTCGTGGTCATCAAGAACCAGACGGGCATCGCGCCTGAGACTCTGCCTAAGCTGACCAAAGTCTTCGACCCGACTGCGACTGATATTCATTCTGCTGGCGAGAAGGCCGTTAGTGACCCCAGGAATATTCTTTCGGCATACAAAGCAGGAAGAATTCCAAGAGCACCGCAAGTGGGCATCATCGGCAGCGGCAAGTTTAAGAACTATGAAGGAGTTGAAGAGTTGGAGGTGATTCATCTGGTATGCCTGAAGCCTATCGTTGTTCAGTTGATTAATTGAATTTTGGAAACTGCAAGCCATTGGCGATCTGAGCTAATAAAACCGGCCAGGATCATACTCTGTTCCATGAGAAGCCTCTGTCGGAGGAGGAGCTAAGCAATGGATATACCCGACCATACCGGTGGCACATGGACACTCCCTTCTACCAGCGTTTGCCTGGCGAAGTCACCATCCTTCACGCGGTTAAGGTGCCGAACCTGCCTGATCAGAAACTCAAATTTCCAGACGGGAAAGAAAAGAGCATTGCTGCTGGATCCACAGCCTGTAAGTCTAGTGCTAAAATTCGCACTCTGAAGACGCATGATTGACCTTTTCGTCAGTCTTCTCCGGGGCCCGGGCATTTCAATTGCTGACCCCGGCTGAGCAAGAATTTGCTCTGAACACGACTGTAACATACGCTCCTCAAGCCTATGAATACATCAGACAATGCAAAGCGACGGAAGACGGATTGTCGATCCCAACAATGGGGAAAGAGGTTCCCATAGAGCAACTCTCTGAATGGTCTTGGGAAAATGTTGCTGAACATCCTGTAAGTCACCCAATTCCATCTGGAGTCTTCTCAATGTTGTACTGACAAGCCTCAGATGGTCTGGCGCAACCCGTTGAACCCCGACCGACCATTTCTCCAGGTTCATGGTTGCTGCGTATTCAAACTGACAACTCGGGATCCGGCGACGGGCAAAGTATCAGTCGTAGATGATGTCGCCAAAGTCCGCGAGATCGTCTACGGCTTCCAGAAGAGGATCTGGGCGGCAGAGAATATCTACGCTCACCGGTGGGAGGAAGGTGATGTCGTGATCTTTCACAATCGCGGCGTCATGCACAGCATCACAGGACAATTGTCTCAGTATAGGGAGGACGAGGAAAAGAAGAGACTGATGTGGCAGTGTACGATGACTAGTGGCACGGCGCCGCAGCCATTCAGAAAACAGCCCGGGGTTGTTGAGACTGGGTTCGCCAAGGCGGCATGAGCGACAGGATCATAGCTAGTCTGTACCTAACTGATTCAAGTCATAATAACTTGGTGTGTCTTTGATCGATTCAATCCTCTTCAAGAGCATCTATTTCTCCTTTCAATATGAGATTGTCTCCCCTGAATAGAGCCGGTTCCCGCCGTCTACGGTCAACCTTCAAATCAAACACGTCTAGGCGTTGATACCCGCCAACCACATCGTGGTACTGCTTTCCCTCAACACAATCCCCAACATCTAAGTCTGCATACAAGATGCCTTCTTCGTGTTGCAAGAATTCTGACGAGGTTTCTCGGAGAGTTCCCTCTTCAATTGTAAACCCCGGCAATAATGCGCCCGTTGAGTCCAAGAACATGGTCGCGCCCCGTGGCGAATCTCTCAGCGCTTGGGAGACCACATCTTCTTGACTCGCCCCCGAAGAGACAGACTCAATTGCATCCTCGCCCAGGACTCCTGAGCAGAGAACACCAAAGCTTTTAGCCTCAAAGCAGTGTGCAGCCGCCCTCGTCCTGTTGGCAGCAACATTGTCATAGTTGGCCCCTTTAGCCACGCTTGATCCCACTCGAGAGCTTGTCTCCTTGGATTTCGGAACTCTCGTCGGCCATATCGCAGGCCATGTGGAGATGTGAATCTGCTCTCCCTGCGCCATGAGCGCATACCTCGCAAGCGGGTTTGTGTTCTCCCCGCAAATGAGATTCCCAATCTTCCCAAATCGCGTCTCTGCGACGCGCAGGCCGTAGCCATCTCCGGGCGCCCACGTCAACTTTTCGAAAAACGTTGGCATGAGTTTTCGGTGATGGACTAGGATCTCTCCGTCAGTACCGATGATGATGTTAGTATTAAAGAGCGTCGCGCTGCTGTAGCGAGCCTTTTCAGAAATGCCGACGCTAAGCAGTACATTGAGCTTCTTTGCCGTGGAGCGGAGAGCGTCTACCTCTTCGCCGTCGATGTGGACGGATTCCTGCACCATGGACTGGAAGAGGTCATGGTTCTCAAAGGGGGCGCGCAGGGAGGACCAGATCGGGAACGCTGGGATGTAGGTCTCTGGGAAGACAACGAGGTTTGCTTTGTTCCTGGATGCTTGGTCAATGAGGGAGATTGCCTTTTCGGTTGTGCGTCGCGCGGAGAGGAAAATAGGTGAGACGTGGCAGGCGGCAACTCGGATTGAGGTGAACATAGTCGCGGGGGAAAGCTGAGCTCGTGCAGACTGGTCTAGAATGGTCAAGACACCGAATTGTTTGGCTCAATCAAATGCGACGCTTCTAAGATACCTGGTGATGGACGACGCTTGATTTTATTTAATGGCTCCAATTCGGTTGGCACGAGAAGTTGGAATGATGTGTCTATCTCTCGGGGCTTTTTCTGTTGCCGGCGGACCACAGATCCTTGTTCCGCTTACTGATCTCACGCAACTAACTACACTCTTCAACAGTTGCATCTACCAATACCATCACAGCGTTCCCAAGCACAGCAGTTTCATAGGCCAATGCAACAACATCCCATCATTTATTCTTTATCATTGGAAACATCCACGCGTGTCCCAATGTTCTCAATCATGCCAACTCACACTCGATCAAGCTCTCTACGCCTTCACCCGCTGACCAAATCTTGGCAATCTTGAGACCAGCAGGTTCCAGAAGCTTGCGCCATTGCTCTTCTGTTCGCTCCCTGGAACTAAAGAGTGTCATCATCATCATATCCAGCGCCGTAGCCTGCCAATCAGCCCCCGTCGAGGGAATCACATTCTCATTAATGAGGAGCTTGCTGTAACCCGGTTTCATTGCCGCAGTGACGCGCGACAAGATGCTCCTGCAAACATCATCCGTCCAGTCGTGTAAAACAGAGTGCATATAATAGGCTCTTGCGCCTTTGACGGGCTGCTCTGTGTGGAAATCGTACGACATGGGCTCAATCTTAGGGTCAACCTTCTGAACCTGAGATAGTACGTATTCAAGATCTTGGAGGACGTGTCGGCCGGGAGCAGTGGGATGCTTTCGACAGAATTCGTCTAGATCGTGGCCGATGCTACCGCCAATGTCGACCAGAAAAGCCGCCTCTGATGAACTGTCTGCGCCTTTGACAAGGCGCTCTGAAACAGGGAAAAATCCATCATCCATCCAGGAAGGGCGTCCTTGCCTGTATCCGGCCATATGGTTCTGGAATTCTCCGGCGGGATGATTGGTCATCATGTGCTTGAAGAAGTTGTTATCTTTACCGATGACATCCTGCATTGGCCCCTCTCTAGGGTCCGGCGAGATGGACCAGTCGTGCTTTTTGAGGTAGAGGGGGAAATTCGAGAACGTCGGCCAGCAACTTTCGACGCTAAGTGATGTGACAGGATGGTCAGTCCATAGAAACGGTAGCACAAGGAAGGAAAAGTGACTTGAAGCAATCTTACAGACAAGGATATCCACCGGCTATGATCGGTAAACTCAGCGACTTGGTGAAGTTTGTGCCGTCGTACTCATCCGGGCCAACTTCCTTGAGGTATCCCATTGAGCAGAGATGACGCAGTGTGCGAGAAAGTACATCGATATCAAAACGAAGAGCTTTGCCTAGATGATCCACGGTCTTCGGACCAGGGTTTTGGGCCAGGTACTGAAACAGGCCCGACTCAATGCCAGTCGCAATGACGAAGGTCACAGCAGGCTGATGGTAATAGCAACTTAGCAAGTACTCCCATAAAACGAAAGTGAATGTGGAAGGCGATTGTCCTCACCTGAGCCCAACAATGTTTAATCATCGTCTCTCTTGGGGTCTCCAGCGCCTGTAGCAGTGACCGGGCCTGCTTCAGAAGGGCAAGACGACCCTCTTCATCGTCGAGGAGAAAAGATGTACCAAGAGTGCCGATATTGTTGGCTAGGTGTGCTACCCTCTGGGCATCGTTGGCCTGGGTAGCGATGGAGGTGTCCAAAAGCGTCTTTTCCGGAATAGAACCCATTTTTTAAGGATTGAAATGATCAAGTTATTGTGGCGATGGGAAGTCTGAAGATTGAATGAAAGAATGCCGCCAAAATCAAAGCACACAGAAGGGAAGGGATATATAAATGCAAAGCAAAGAATTTGAGAAACCCGGTTTACCCAAGAAGGACCACCTTTGCCTTTTCCAACATGGAGGCAGCGGTTCTCATGTCGATTCTGACCACAGAATCCTGGGGCCGTTGCTACCATAATTGTCGGTACTCCATTCTGTAAATTGCGCTCCCAAATGAGAAGTCTTGCGGTCGATTAAAACTCCTCGCTGGGATTATCTGCAACTCTGCACCAACGACGACAACAAACAAGTCTTGAGCTATTCAGCGTATCTGGTGATACCGTTGTGGCATGGCTCCATACCAAGACCTGGGCAAGGGGCGGGGAGAACGGGAGACCCAAAAATCAGGTGAAAGCAAACATTCTTTGTCAAGGATGTAGTGGAATCTCTACCCTGGCGACGAATGAGAGTCTTGTGTTGGTGTTGTTTGTTGGTTGAGTGCGTGCGCGTCCCCGGGTCCCCGGGCTGTTGGTTCACCCATGCTGGGAGGAATACGAAAGTCTTCAATACGATCCTGCAGTTTGTCGGAATAAATTAGTGGGAACTTGGGAAACTCGAAAATTGGTCCTTTAATCACCGTTCCTTGTCAGCCGAACTGAGATTACCGCCAATGGCGGTGGAAGCTCACACAGGGTATTCGCCGAGGTGTCATCGATGGACTGATTGAGAACGTTTGATGCCGATAGGAGAAGGGGGAGCTGCGCATTCTACATGTCCAACTGTCGATCGCAGTTCGAGAGACGTTGCAGTCTTCAAATAATCATGAATCTGACCCTCTGACCGAGGCTCAGTATGGAAGGGGCTTGTCTTTTCTTCCTGGCAACCGCGTAATCCAGTTCTTCTATTTGGTGGCTGCCGGCGCCGACTTTTCGATCTGTCTTTGAGGTCTCCCCTTTGTTCGATTCGTTGTTCTCATTCTCCTCGACTTTCTGGAGCAATGTCCGGAAAAATGTCGCTCAACCGAAATACCGAAGACAAGGGCCCTGTGGCACTTGGCATTGTCATCTCTATGTCGGTCCTCAGCACCCTCTTCACCGCTGGTAGACTCTTCGTTAGAGGAAGAATATTGAAGCAGTTTCATCTCGACGACTATTTGATTGTCGCGTCTGTAGTAAGGAACATCTCAGCTTCGATTCGACCGTCTCCAATACGACGTATTGTCCGAGATTTCCTAGTTGTTGACGATCTCTGCTCCAGGTCTGTGGATGGACGAATGTTGGAACAGCTATCACGGCGGTGGCGCATGGAAATGGCCGGCATTTTGATGTGCTTACACTCGAGCAGAAGTCGGGAGCAATACTCTGGACCATTGCTGGCTTTCCTCCCGGTGTCATGTCTTTTGGACTCCCGAAGCTTGCTGTTGTCGCGCTCCTCACACGGATCATGAATCCTAGCAAATGGCATGCTCTTTTCCTGTGGTTCATCGCCTCATTCTGTCTCATCAACTTGATTGGATGCGTAATCATTCTTTTTGCCCAATGCCAACCTTCTCACTCGCAGTGGGACTTTTCAGTCACAGACAAGACGTGCTGGGACAAGTGGATTCTGGTTTACTTTGCCATCTACTCTGGAGGTGCTTCAACCCCGCTCTGTTTCTGTCCTTTAGAATCCTTTTCCTGACAGATTTTTTAGGCTTCTGCGCGTTTGTAGACCTTTACTTGGCCATCTATCCAGCCGTCGTCCTCGCGAAGCTACAGATGAGTGTGAGAAAGAAGGTAGCTCTGAGCATCGCTCTTGGGATCGGGTCAATGTGCGTGTTGAGGCTCAATCTTTCTTGCTTCCTGATGGCAAACAAAACTGACATTCTTGACGAAAAGCTCATCGATCGTTGCCACATACAAATGCTCTCGGCTTCCAAGTCTCGCAAGCTTGGACTTCTCATGTGAGTTTGTTGGAAATCCCGCTTGGAATAACACGCCGAGTCTAAACTAGTCGTGTGATGTTTCAGATGACACTTCAGACTTGGTGATTTGGACTATGTGAGTTAAGCAACTGTTCTCAATGTTGATAGCCACAATGGTGTGGTGAGAACTTGTGCTAATTCCCTTTGCTAGAGTCGAGGGCAGCACGATGATCATTGCCGCATGTATTCCCGTACTCCAACCCCTCGGCGAGCTCATCTTTGGCAAGCGCATTTTCAGTTCTGGTGGAGGACGGTATACGTATGAGAACTATGGTTCGGGTCAGAGTGGTCAACATCGATCCGATATTGAAATGTCTCGATCAAAGGAAGTGCAGAAAAGAGTAGCTAGAAGGCAACACGACGCTGCTGCGATCAGCTTTGACGATAGGGTAACAACAACGACGGTCACAAAGGGAAGTCAAGAGAGCATCCTGCAAGGAAAAAACATGTACAGAAGTATTGTAAGAACGGACTTAATCAGCATCAGTATTGAGTCGAGCAAGCCTTGATGTTAGCTCAATTCCTTCAAATACATAGTTGCAGTCAACATCCGACTCTTGTTGGGTAAAGTGTTCTAGCAAGTCCCGTATTCACCGCCAACAAAGACAAAAGCGTTTCTAAACAAGACATTGCCTTCAAAGACTAGCCCTAGAATTTGCCGAGTTCATGCTTCTCTTAGTGCTATTGATGCAGCACACGCATGGCTTCATGGCGAAGGTCACAGCTTGCTGGATACAACAAGCAACGTGAGGGATGTTCTCAATTCTTCTGTGGAGGTTTCAACTTCCTCGCGATTCCGATTTCAACTTTAGAAGTCTGTGATCAAACAAGGATCCATACACAAGCAGTCAGCCTTGGCACTACATATCCATGAAACTGCCCTTTACGCTCTGAACCAGCCAATGCCGATTTTCACTAGTATTGGAATCTCCATCTAGGGTCCTTGTCACCGGGCCAATCCTCCAAGTCGCCAATTGCTTGAACTTCCGGTGCAATAGCCTCGCGTCTCTTATTCTCACCCTTCAACACAAAGTATAAGATACCACAGACGATGATATTCGCCAAAAGATACCCCAAAGCGAAAGAGTGGCCGACAATGTACCTCGGACCATCATTGGCACGATACAACTGTGTTCCCAACACAGCTCCCAAATTTCCAATAGTGATCTGCATTGCGTTGCCTACAGCACGCTTGGTCTGCCCAGAGACATTGATGGCCGGCCACGAGAGGACGAGAGCGGTGGCGGGGTAGATTCCCGCAGCTGCGAAGAAGGTTCCGAGGTACGAGACGCCAGGCTTCCCCGCAGGGTCGGAGTTGGCTAAAAGAATGATGTAACCAATCGCCGCGACCGCGGATGATCCCATGATGAAGAAGGCACGGCGGCCGGTGCGTTCGGAGTAAATCGCGACGGTCAATGTTGTGACAAAGGCGACGGCATAAGGAGGGATAGTGAGCAGTTGGGCGACGGCCGCGGTGTACCCGAGGTTCTTAATGATGGTAGGCTAGGCAAAGTTAGTGAGATGGTCCACTAAGTTTGTGAGAGTAACTCACAATGAACAAAGAAAACGTGTATAGCGGCAAGCTCATGGTGTGGAAACCAAGACCGTACAACCAGCACTTTGGGTCCTTGATAGCATCCATCACATTACTCCACGAGAACTTCTCGTTATGCGTGGCATCGCTGTCGGAAGCTAATCTGGCCCTGATAAAGCGGCGCTCCTTTTCAGAAACAAATTTGGCCGTGTCGGGGTAGTTTTGGATGAACCAGTATGCGCCGACAGCAATGACCACGGTTGCGATACCCTCCTATCAGATTGTCAGGCAACGTTTCTTGATTTTCAATGGGGAGGTCACATACCAAGATAAAGATCCATCTCCAGCCATTGTCCCATACAACTCTCATGTGTCCGATTCCCCATGCTAGGATACCGCCGAACGCACCGGCAAGAGAGGCAGCGCTGAAGAAGAGGGAGATGCGGAACTGTCTCTCGCGACGCTTATACCTGAGGAAGTTCAGGTCAGAACTATGCCATCCTTAAGCTCCTGGCCCATTGAAACCTACCACATCGAGAAGTAGTATACCACTCCAGGAAAGAGACCGCTCTCAGTGACACCGAGGAAGAAGCGGGCGACAAAGAATCCGGCCATATTAGTGACGATTCCCATGAGCGTCGCGACAATGCCCCATGCGATAGTCAGTGTCGGAAGCCAAAAGCGTGGAGTGGTCCTTTTCAAGATGATGTTGCATGGAATCTGAAACGTTTAGCATTGCACGAACACATGTCTCTTCGAAACATTGTTGTGGAAGCACTTACTTCAAAGAGAACATAACCGATAAAGTATAGAGTTAGACCAGTCAGATACTGGTTACCACCTGTCAATGTCAGCTACACCGGTTCGATCTTGACCGAGTTTGTCTGATTAAGAAGCATACTCATGTTGAGATCGGTAGTAAGGCCTTCAATTCGAGCATTGCCCACTACGTAGATATTAGTAGATTGTCTCGCAGCAGGGTTTTCTGGAGCATCTCACCATTAGATCGGTCGAGGAATGAGAGAAGGTACAAAATGCCCACCGCCGGCAGAAGCTTGAGATCAAGCTTCCTCAACAGCGACTTCTCATTGACTACATCCTGCTCAAGCTCAACTTCGGACGGGCTATCCGTCCCGCTGATATCATTCGCCGGCGTATCTAGCGCCTTCTCGGGCGGAGGATTCTTTGGCGCGCTCATCGTAGGTTGCTGATATTGTGAATTCTCAGATTCTCTCCCTAGCGCTTGTGGCTATTTTGTTTGCCTCAATGTTGGAAGAAGGTGAGGTCCCAACTTCACTCGGTACCAGAAACACCCGCGCTTGTCCGGCTGAAGTCGAGTTTCTAAGGTCGTTTGCGTGTTTGGAAAAGAAACTCTGCGGCCACGCGCACGGCTTATCAATGCGGACCCCAAAAGACCCGGACCAAGCTGTCGGAGCAGACCTCTGCACGAGGAAAAACGAGATTGGCGAGTAGATTGCTCGAGTGGGCTGGTTTCCTTTCCTTCTTCGGGAGTATTGCCTCGTTTAGAGCTTTTAGCTACTTGTCGTCCATTTTGACAGCGGTTTCTGAGTGTCGTTTTCCCAGGGCCCGCATGGCATCATCAGTCAATGATGACATTTTCCCGGGGCACCATTCCTGTAATTGCGTAGATGCCGTTGCAGGTCACCACTGCCGGGTGGATGGCGCCAGTGGAGGTGGATGGTGAAATTCGTTTGCAAGTTGTGTGATTGGCTCATTTGAATCACCTCATGTTGAAGTCGATGGCGACATCGCCGACTGGGTCTTTTTGCTTTCTCCAACAGCCCCCAATATAGCAAGTGTGTAATTAGTACCTGGTGCATTTCCTTTTTAAAGTGCCTTGGCTCTGCTTAGCAACTTTAGAAATGAACCCCCACGGCCCGTCGATTCAGCTAGAAAAAATCTTGTTTCTCCGCGCATCTAACGCTAGACCGCGGCTTGCATCTGCGGTTTCGGGCGATTGTTCGATAATGGCGACTTCCATCCGACCTTACGGTGCCGATCGGTCGGCAATACGGCTCCGCTCAAGAATCCGTCGTTCCACTTTTTCTCCGATTCCCGATCTCGGCCCTTTCCGATAGCAGTCGGCGGATGGTTGCGACCTCGCAGACGGAATCGGAAGTAGTCTCACTTCTTTTCAACAGATCCGATTCTTTTCGTTTGAGCTGCCTGTAATCCTTTTGAAGGTGACTGTCCAGAATCAGCTCCTGCCAACCAGCTAGTGGCTGAAGTGATTGCTCAAGTCTCTCAGCGATGGTTTCTGAGGTCAGTATTAGAAAGGCATAGGTCACAGAATGGCACTGGAAAAGTTTCCCAACTCGAGTCTATTTTGCTGCCTACTATACAATATCCTTTTTTTTTTTTTTCCTTTTTCTGTTGTTCCTTTTCTATATCCAAACGAATGACTGTTCCGAAAAATCGAGCTAAGAAAAAGTGCATACCAAAAGAGTGTTCTATCCATGACCAACCAGAAAAACCATTCATTCATTCACAAGCGTCTGTTGTACCCCATTCACCCAAAGATCGAAGTCCCAAGAGGGGGATTGTCGAGTTTTCCGTTCCGATGTATACAAAGCAGAAGTCGTCGTGGCCAACCACGCTATGAGAGAGAGTAGAAGAGTAAAGCACTACCTTCTGAGCCAACTCGCCGATTCGAGCCGCGTCAAGCGAAGGCACGCCGTGGAATGTATCGTGATGCTATGCACGTGTGTGCATTTAGCAGCCAATGTCGAAGGCGACGAAGGTCTGACCGTTGGTAGGAGCGGGCAGGCTGGAAGCCGGGACGTTGAAGAGGCGGCACTGGACCGGCTCGTTGGCGGAGGGCTTGCCGAACTCGATGGCCTGGCATCCAGTGGTCTGCTTGCAGAGAGCCAAGCAGGCGTCCTGGGTGGTGATGTCCTCACGGCTCAGGAGAGGGGTGGGGCTGCTGGTCGCGGGGCCGGCGGGGGCGGCGCCGCAGACGTTGGCACGCTTCTTGGGCTGCTGGCTACCGTTGCTGTTGTTGCTGCCAGTGTTGGCGTTGCCGGTGTTGGCACCAGTGTTGGAGCCTGTGTTGCCGTTGTTGGCGCCGGTGTTGGTCTGGGTAGGAGCAACGGTGGGGACGCTGGTGCAAGCCTTGTCAAAGACCATCAAGTTGGTGTTGGACTGCTTGGGAACCTGAGAAGCCGGGACGGCGTAGAGGTAGCAGAGAGGGGTGGTGCCGGAGGGGGGAAGGCCGAAGACGAAGGACTGGCAGCCAGAGTCGGCCTCGCAAAGCTTCTGGCAGGCGTCCGCGGTGGCGGCGGCGGGCTGGGAGCGGGGCTCGACACTGGCGGTGGTAGGGCCGGAGGGGGCGGAGTTGCAGACATCGCGGATGGCGAGGGGACCGGCCTGAGCGGCGGCGGCGAAGGCAATGATGGTAGCGATGGTGAACTGCATTTTGATTGTTGGGGGTGGTTGGTAGTGGTTCTTGAAAAAGAAGTGTGAAGACTGAAGTGTAGTAGAGCGAAAGTGGTGCTGAGAAAGCGAAAGATGGAAGAGTGAGAGATGCTTGAGAGTGATTGAAGATTGAACTGGTTGTTGGTGGTGAGGAGAAAGAGAAAGGTTTTGATTTGAACGGGACAAAGGTCTTCTTTTATGGTCAAGTTGAGCTCTGCGTTTCGAAGGCTTCTCGACTCCCTTTCCTGAGCCTGACTAGACACTCGACTGACGATCTACGATAGACTGGGTACGTCAATGGAGAGTCTTACGACGCATTGCACGAGCGTCTTACACAGCCAGTCTCCGGAACGCGTGGTGGGTGAAAGTTGATGATCGACGTCCCGGATGTCACTCTGTCGACGTTGATGCCCTCGTCATCGCCGGGCTGGGTCCAAGGAACGGCCTTCGAGAACCAGTGAGAAGGTCTCTTGCCGTCCCATGTTCGCTTCGCTAACAGACTTTGGCAGTATGTTTGGCCATACCACAGCCTCATGAGATGGCAGGTTTAACCCGCGATGTGGGCGAACAACCTGGACGTTTCAAACCGTTCGTCCGAGGCATCTTCATGCGATCGAAACTCTCCTATTGTCCCTACTGGCTGGATGTTCCCAAGTTGAGAGCTGATGGAGAGACAACAAGGCCTCCTACGCTTGGACCCTGCGACGGCTGAGGCTTGATGAGCCGGGGCGAGACCGAGGTCGGCGCCTCCTTGGAACTTTTCGGGACTCCTTGAGGCTCTTTGGGACACACTCAAGAGTCTCGAGCTTCATGAGCAGACAGGCGCTCGGGAAAGTAGCAGAGAGGGGGATTCCCGATAACGTAACAAGCGAGCGTTCCATCATGCACAGTCACAGATCTGACGTTACGGTTCACAAGCCACTCCCGACGTGGGGAACACCAAAAAGCTTCGATGCCAAGCATGAGGCTTAATGCCCAAAGAAGCTAGAAAAAAATAAGCCCTGCCGGGCTGCCGTCAACGGGGCGCTGCAACACAACTGGCAAACTGCGTACGTACCAGATGGCAACACCCAGATAGGTAACAACATGGCCGGGGATGTGCAAAGAAAGGACGTGGATACCCCTGCATCACATCTGCCCAAGCTTTGCGGTTCCCGACGCTCTAAATCCCCCACATTCCAGAAGAGTGCCATTCCGGGAAGCCGATTCAGGGGGTGACGGTGCGGGTTCAGGGGTAAAATCCCGCCGCTACAAAGAAGCTTCCCCTTCTTTTCGACTCTCTTGAGGCTTGACGAGCCCTGATTTGCGTGGGTACCCCCTCAAGCCTCAAGTGAAGTGGGTAAACATCGTAAGGCATTCCGGTGCTGATGCCCCAACAAAGCCTGTGAGACCGGACAACGCTCCCAATTCAGCAGCTTCCAGTCCCTGGAACACTTTGCTGCAGCGTTTGGCGAGAGAGAATACCATTCCGAAAATATGCTTGCAATTTCCCCTTGATTCTTTTTGGTTGGGGCTCTTTGATTCCTGTGAGGCTGAGGCCCTGAAAGAGGGGGGAAAACTGACCTTACGCATATTGCAGACGTAGAGCCCTGTCTATAGTGCTAAACAACTATGATAACTATAGATAATAATAAGTGCGGGTGCGACGGCACGACGTTCTGTTCTTGACCGCGTTGGCGTTGGGGGCTGAAGTTGGCCTGTTTGACTTTGACTGCCCTCCTCTACAATGCTCCAATACTGCCAACCTCGTGACTTACGAGCATGACCTAGGGCTGCTGATGATGACGAAGCCATCCTTGGGTGCTGAAAAAGTTTCCAACAAAGGTCGGATAGACGGCACACCGTACACGTGGGATTATACTCAACAACCTTACTCTGTGAGTTATTACTGAGAGAGGAGTGGGAAACATCGTTGCGTCGTCATCAGCATCGAAATAAACCAAAATAGACATTTCGAAGTGTATACAAAGTTTTTGCGACTTAGCCGGAGGTATAGGCTGAATGCTGTTAAGCAAAATGATGATCTTCGCTGAATGTCCACTGTATGTCCGCAGCACTTACGAATCGTCGCAACGCGATTCATGTACCGACCACCTATGCTCAGTGCAACCCCGAGAAAAGGCCAAAGCTCAAGTGCACCGCAGCTCAATCATTCCGACGCCAGGTGTGCTGTTGTTTCTAGGGCAGCGCAAGCTGATCTGAATTTGGCGATGATCATGATCGGAGAGAGACATAGATCAAGTCTGGAGACTTTTGGGATGGACTAAGAAAATGACGCGCGGTTCCGAATGCCAAAAGAATAGTACTTGCTCACCGAGGTGATTCGTGGGCAACTCAAGGTTTTCCGGCAGTTCAAGCTTGCTTGTTGATGTTGCGATTACAACTAAATATGACAACTTTGAAATTGATGGAACTTTTGCTCGCCAGTTTGCATTCAAGCGCGGTCGTACCAAATAGGAAGCTGCCGGTTTTTAAATGAAGAGAGCGCAGATTGTCTGCCTTGCTCGGCGATGTGGGATGAACGGAACACCTGAAGGCTTGGGCACGGCGTGAATGAACAACAACTCTCCGCTGCAGGAAAGATCATCATGGTCAATATAGTGGGCAAGTACTACGAGCTGTCGATGATTCTCTAAGAATTTTTGTCATCAAAGTGCGTTTGATTAGGAGCATCTTGCAGTCCATCTCTTCATCAATGGCGCAAGTGATTCTCATGAGATCGATGAGATCCAAGCCTGAAAGCACCAAACCCCAGGTGAATTT